CAATGAGCACAGCATAAACTCTCAGAATATGCTAGTTGCTTACCTATACCACTCCTCCAGTTCCTTCTCCCCCCTTTTAAATTTTTTATTTTTTACATTTTGTTGATGATGATAATATTGTCCTCTGATAAAGTCCAGAAATTCTCTAGTGTTCTAAGACATATGGTTGGAGAACTGGTTCAATAAGGATGCCGTACATCAATGCCAGAATATCTAAATTATATGTGCCTCCAAAATCTTAGCTTTGTGATTATAAATTTTAAAAGTCATATCATTACCTTTAAAAAATACTGAGTATCTTGTGTAGGGCATTGTTCCTTAATGCATTTTTCAAAGATTGATTTTAAAATTTTATATACATGATTATATACTTTTGATCATATATAATTTAATTTTAAAATTTTATTTATATAGTATATATAAACTCTTGCTGGAGAAGCACCTTTTTAACTAAAATCATAAGAAAAAATTTTATATCATTATGTCTTGGGAAATAAATCAGTTTGATTTTAAACCAAAATCTGAAAACGAGTTAAAGTAGCCAAGAAATGTCCTTGGTTCCTTGGTTGTTTTTAATTGATGTTGAAATTAAAAGAAATGCAGCCACATCATTGTTGGAGCAAGTGTTTCTCTTGATAGTACAAGGGCAAACACAGATATTACCAAACACTTGGAATCTGCCGAAGAAGTTATGTAAGAAAATTAGAGATCTGCAAGCCATGTAAAGTGTGGGAAAGGAAATAGACAACCTAGGAGAAACTTAGTAGTATATAATGCTTATTAGAGTTCAGAAGTTTTGGATGGAATATTGCAGTTTTATACCTCTGTGATTACACATCAATGTATGACTCAGGAATTTTATTTCTTATCTTGTGTTATTAATTACCTGAGGTATTTGACTTATTTTCAGTGCAGCTGTACAATAGAAAAATGCTAAAAAGTGAATAGAAATATTGCTTGATAACCTAATCAAAGCAGCTATGCTTTAGGCTATCTAAAAGGGCAATTTACTTATTCATTAATTTTTTTTCAACAGTGCTGTTCTGTGTAAGCACTGCAGGAAAGGTACAATTCTTGTCCTGGAGAATTTACTTTCCAAAAGGAGGATAATATATATGTAGGTTCAAATAATAAAACCATACGGGCAAAAAAAGACAACTATCATAATAGATGCAAAGGACTAAGTGAGTTCAAAGGGGCAAGAGATTCTTTCCAACTGGCTTAGGCTTCAAATATGAGTGGAAATTTTGCCAGATGGAATGGAATGGGAGAATATTCAGACAGAGGGAACATCATGAGCAAATGGTTAGGTAGAAGAGTTTGGACCAGATAGGAATGGAGTTGTTTCCTGAAGAGGTATAAGCAGCTGAACTGCACAGGTCCATTAGGTTCAATCAGTGGAAAGTCCTAAATATCATATTAAAAGATATAGGGTTTATGTACAAGGTAGTTGGGAGCTACTAAAGTTTTGATCAGAGGAGTGAGTACCCACCCAGTTCATAACCACAGTAGGAAATTTATTCTATTAGTCAAATGTATGCACTGGAGATGGGGCAAGTAGAATCAGAAAGGCTGTCATACCAATACAGTTGACCCAGGCAGACTGATTAGACAGACATGGCAGGACACTCAACAAATTTGGTTAAAGGGAGGAGAAGAGAGGGAGGAGTAAAGATGACTCATGATTTGAATCTGATTCATAAGGAGAATAATAACATCATTAGCAAAAAGGGCCTGGAGGAGAAATTGGAGATCAGATAATACGAGATTTTGAATGTGTTGACTACGAACCGGTGCTAATAATTATTGAGCACTTATAACTTGCCAGGCACTATTATATGTTTTATACGCATGATCTCACTGATTCCTTGCAGCAACCTTAATGCTGCTCAACAACAACCTACCCAAGTTTACATTGCCTATCAGTGATGCAGTCAGGATCCAGCCCCAGGGGCAGAATTCCAGAGCCCAATTTATTGAATGCTTTTACTAAATGGTACTGGGCTTGGAGTCAGGGATGAAAGAGAAGGAAAGAAAAATAAAAGGAGAATGATGATCAGGGAGGTTGGGAGAATTTCCAGAAAAGATCACAGAGCCCCAAAGACTTTCAGAAAACTGAAGATGGGTGTTGCAGCAATGCTAAGATGTGGGTGAGAATCTAAGCAAATACATTTAGATTTAGTGACCAGAAGAGCACTGGTGGCCTTAAAAGTGGGTTCAGAAAAGTGATGAGGTCCAGAGTGTATTGACATGGGCTGGAGGATCAGGTAATTTAGGAGGAGGTGGGAGCAGTACGGGGAGATCTGGGGCAAGACTGTCAGTGAGAAGACTGCAGCACCCTGGGGTAGACCTGCCTGGGAAAGCATTTTAAGGATGAGGATCACTCCTTGGTGCCCACCCAGAGTAGATGTCAAGGAACAGATTTCAGGTTTAAGTGAGGTCAACTCTTCCAGAGGAAGGAGAAAGTGACGAGATTGCACAGATAAGAGCAAAAGGAGCCATAAGCACACTTTCCAGAGGTGAAATGTGTGTCAGGGTGGGGGAAGGATATAAGTGGAGCAAAGAAGACCAAACTCCCATTTGCTGATTTTTGGTTTTCTCAGTCAATTAGGAAATGAGTTAATTAGCGACTGAGGGAGGTCAGAGTTGTGTCACTCAGGGGTTTGCAGCAGTTGCTGTGGGAATGCAGTGAACAGTCCAAAGACAATGACAAAAGGTTGCCACACATAGTCTTATGGTTCACACTGAGGTTAAATAGCATGAATCTTTAGTCTAGCTAGTTGTCAGGGTTTGTGACTTCTTTTGCAGTGTTCAGCAGTCTGGCAACAGAAAGCCCAGCAGGCAAGATTACAAAGGGTGAGGAATCAGAGGATGCTAGTGACTGCCAGGCAGTTTGGGTGCAGGTTGTCCTTTGCAGAAACTGCAAAACAGACAGAGCTGAATAGAGAGCTAAGGGAAGAGGTGGGGGAATGGAGAGGGGAGAAGCATCAACATTTAAGAGAGGTCCACATTTAGGGACTCCATGAGGAAATGCGGCCCCGTTCATGTGGTCAGAATGTCAGTGTTTGAGAAATTAGAGTGAACGCGGAGGTCCTGGAATGGTACTCTTTCCACCTGGCTATGAAGAACTGACCCGAGGAAGTTAGAAGTAGAAATAATAAAGGTATTAAGTGACGAAGGATTCTGAGAGTGGGTGGTGGGGTAGACAGAAGGGGCTGCAATTCAGACACAAAATCGTAAGTGATCATTAGGTAATGCCCAGAAAGTGATGAAAAATTTTTTTAAAAAGGAAGAATGTTTTGTTTATACATAATAGAGACTTGAAAAGGCATGCAATTACTGAGCTAAAATATTGATGGATTTTAAAAAAATAATAATGATATTGACATACTGTTAACATGGTATGTTATAGGAATATTGACAGGAAGACTTAATTTATCGAGAAATGTATATGAAATCAGACATCGAGCAAAATTGTAGCTCAGAATAACACTTTAAATGCATTGAATGTAAAATGTTCGATTTTACCTTTTAAAAAAAAAACCTGGGTCTTTTATTGCTGAACTTTTAAGTCTATTTCAGCCAGTTAATATTGATATGTTCATAAAATGCAGAAAAGACAGCATATCGTTTCTGTCATTTGAATCTCAGCTATTTCTAAAAATATTTGTATCTTACAAGATATTATAAAAGCTACAGAACTGGGCACAGTGGCCACACCTCAAACTTGTCATCCTTCTGCCTCAGCTTCCTGCCTCTCAGGAAGCTGAGGCAGAAGGATGACAAGTTTGAGGCCAGCCTGGGCACTTGGGGAGACCCTGTCTTAAAATAAAAATTTAAAGAGGCTGAGGATGTGGCACAATCCCCAGTAGTAATAACAAAACAAAAAACAAAGAAAGTCACAGAGAAGGGCTGGGATTGTAGCTCAGTGGTAGAGTGCTCACCTAGCATGTATGAGGCACTGGGTTAAATTCTCAGCACCACATATAAATAAATGAATAAAATAAAAGCCCATCAAATATATATATATTTGGAAGTTAAGGTGGAAGAAATCTTTTGTAAATGTATTTCTGTTAGTTTTCCTACAACATATGAAATCTATGAATTAGCAATTATGGTTCTAAAATTAACACCCGATTATTCCATACTGAAGAATAAATTACAAAGGAAAGATGATAATTAACAAGCATTTAAGAAACCTTATGGGAAAAAAATTGATTTTTGTGTTACCTGTAAAAAAAAAACTAATAAGAATAAAATAAGAAACAAGCCTCCCCCAAAATGCCGTTGATCTGTGTAAATAAACAAATTCAATTTTATAAGAATAAAATACAGAAATAATAAGTTGAAGTAATGTCCATGAGTGTAGACTTCTGATCTCTAAAGAACTTGAGCAGTCTTAAGGCACGTATCCTCCCCAGAAGTGGGAGGACGTGCCTTGGGTGATGTCACCAGTGACTAGTAACCACTGCAGTGTAAACAAACATCAGCAGGAAATAAATGTGGGTAGGGCAAGGGTCTAGAAGCATGCCTTCCTTCTAGAAAAGTCTCAGTGGAGTTTTTTTTTTTTTTTTTTTTTTCTTTTGTTTTGGTTTTGTTGCTCGTTTTTTTAAAGGAAGAAAGGGAACACAGTCTAGCCTTTGCCTTCTGCCACAGAGACCTTTCGTTTCAGAGGCAGTGTCTTTCCTTGACAAATGGATTTCCTTGCTGGCAGTCTTTGTAATATTGAAAAGTACAGGACTGTTCGCTCTTGCAGCAATTATTGGTTGCTTTTTCCAGACTGACAAGCTTGTCTGTGGAATTTCTCAGGGGAGAGTTTCAAGTTACCAGAACTAGGCAAGCCCACTGAGGAGCAGGAGCTGGAGCAGGAGAGGAGCAGAAGGAGAGGACGAGGAGGAGGAGGAGGAGGAGGAGGAGGAGAAGGAGGAGGAGGAGGAGGAGCAGCGCCTTTCGTACTGCTGCAGCCGCTCTTCTGATTGGCTGGGTGGTTCAGCTGCTTCCCTGGAACAAAAGGTCAAAGTGGACTGCAGTGTAAATGTGGAGAGGCAGCCAATAAATAGCATTGCTTGGAGAAGTTTGGAGGTTGAGAGCCACCGCACGCTGGCAAACTGCAAGAGCAGTTGTTTCTCCAGCCCGGAGGTGCAGCCTCGTGCCCGAGCCCAGCTCAGCCACTGTAAGCAGAGGATCACTGCCACAGACGGCCAGACTTGTCCTGGAAGAGGCGGTTGTGAGAATCCCTTGCAAATTTCCATGCAAGAATGGCTTGTGAAATCATGCCTCTGCAAAGGTAGTGTTCTCTCCTATTTGTTTTGTTTTATTCTGTCTGTATCCTGTGAGTTGTATAAAGCCATATAACTTGGCCACTACTTGGCATCTTTTAATAACCCGCCGCAAACTGTGTAGTCTGCTGTACCTAACGTTTTTCTCTAAGACCAGAAAAATTTAAATATCCTACTGCTCCTTTACTGACATTTCTGCCCAATTTCTTTTCTTCTTCCACTTGATCATTACATTCAGTTATATCCTTCTTTGAATGGAAGTGAATGTAAGAATACACATCTGAAATCTGAAGAAAAACAGACTAAGAAATATATTGAGTAGGTCTATAAAAGAACTGAATCAGTTTCTTAGCAATGTTTCCACTATGACTCTCAGAGGATGTTGATAGGCTGAAGACCTTTTTTAAATGAATCTTAGGAGCCTTCTTTTCTAGACAAGGGTTTTCTATCAATAAGTGCATTATAATAAACGGAAATCAATGTTAAAGATAATATTTCCCTTTGAATAATTCTAGATAGATCTGTTACAGCAATCACACTTTTCTTCCCATATTTTTATTGGTGCATTATAGTTGTACACATTGATGGGATTTGTGGTTACATATTTGTACATGCCACTGATGGCACTTTAAAAAAAAAAACTGCTCTATAAAAATGATTGAGCACAAGTTCTGTTTTTGTTCATTAATGATTGTAATATAGATGAGGTGGGGGTGGCAAAGGAGTTGTACCAAAGCAGAGAAAGGTAAATTTTAAACAAAGGTGCTTGTTAAAAGGAACTATGTTAGTGAACTATAAGACTTATAAGTGAATAATATATCCTGGAATGTTAATCTGGAAGTCACCTCAGTGTTGACTGAGTCCAGTCCTTCGATTTCACAACAGGAAAACTGAGGCGTGTAGAAAGTCACCGAGTTGCCCAAGGTCACATCTTATGGTTTAAAACATTACTTTAGCCAATCATGTTATCTTATTTCAATTTCAATGCTTTACATGCAAGGGAATTTGAGTCCATATAAATGCTTCATTTAGAGGATTTTATTAGTAAAATTATTAAAATCAAATAGCAAATATGGTTTATTTATAAATTAAAATTAGATAAAAATGAATTTCAGCCAGGGATATAGCTCAGTTGGTATAGTGCTAGCCTGTCCTGCACAAGGCCCTGGGTTCAAAACCCAGCACCACTATACACAAATAAATAAATTGTAATTTGGATTTTTAAAAAAATGAATTTCATTTTTAAAAACCAGGCTACAAATGTGTTACTTAATGTTTGATTTAACAATGAAAATAAGATTTTAAAAATGTATTGTTTATTTACAAAATGATTCCTGCAGATATTAACTGTGAGATAACCCAGGATGGATTTTTTTTCACTGTACTGACAAGTGCACTGTAATGGGAACTTAATGAGGGTGTTCAAGGAATTCCTTTTCAAAACTTAATAATTAAAGGCAGGAGAAAGTGGTTCATGGACAGATCTATATTTTTTTATATTAACTCAGTGAAAAAGTCATATGCTTAAAGCTCATGGAAGACCAAAACAAATGTACACTTTTTGAAGTCTTACTTGATTTCCAACAAGTTGGGGACATTTTTAAGGTATAATAACGTCAGTTCTTAACAGTTTTAAGTAGATTGTATTATACATGAGAACAGTATTAGCTATTACTGAACTCTGTAATAGCTACTTGATAATATAATAACTGTTTAGATGAAAAATAGATCTTTATATTGCCAAAATATTATTTAGGCAGTTAAGTTGATAATAGATAAAATGAAATCAGTATAATTTTCTAAGAATTATTTTGTAGTCAGTCATTGTTAATGAACCTAATAGGAATAAATCTATGGATGATTTGAATTTACATTCAAGAATGATGAGTTGCTACTTTTGTTTCTTTGCATTATTACATGTAGCTTACTCTCACTCCTTTGTGCACTCACTGTCACAATATTCCCCCAGCTCTTAGAATTTGCTTTACTGATTTCCCTGCAGTCTTTACTTCTAGCCTGTGCCTACCTTTGATTATAAATCTCCTGAAGGCAAGGACCACGTTGGTGTGATTCTCTCCACTAGGGGTGTATATGTTTAAGCATTTGTGCAGAACACCTTCCCACTCCTATTTATAATTGTTTTGTCAGATTCAAGTTCATGACTATCCTGGTATTGATAGCTATTGCTGACTGACCCTGTCCTTCTCCTCCTGCTGAGGCAGGAACTTGGCAGAGCCTTGGCAGTATGTGTGCCAACTCACTCTGTGTCAAAGAACCAAAGGGCTAGGAACTGAATGGAAAGTGGATGAGTAAAAGAATAACTTTTAATACCAATTAAAGAAATTCATGCTTATTATTTTATTGAGCAGAGAGGTCAGTGTGTCTCATACTCTAGGGGCATGAGAATTGCCTGGGGAATTTATTTTTTAAATCAATTTCTTCTTGCTGCCCTCCTTGTGTAAATCCTAATCTGGAGGTGGCAGGGAAAATGTCTGCATTTAACAACTCCCTAAAAGCATCTCTGATCCAGATGGCCTACACTTAGAGAATCACTGATGTAAATTCTAGTTAATGATTACAGCTTAAATAAAGCTATTGACAGCTGGCATACGTAGGAATGTACATATGTACTACTCTACCTACCCAATTAGCATATTTAATATCCTGACCTTAAGTGAGTTTTTTTTCATAATTGACGCTTTCATTTACTAGTTCATTAGTTTGTTAAAACAAAACATACAACATTTAAAATTTTTCTCTTTGACCAAACAGTATGTCCTGCCAGTGATCCCAAAGTAATTAAGACAGAGACTCTGCTTCAAAGAGGTCACATGCTAGTGAGGATGCAGACACATTACCAGACAATTGCAATACCATGTGGTGAATTCTGTAATACACAGAATGATTAGCATAATAATAGAGATGTGCCTAGGTGGATGATATTACCCTATGTTTTATTTAACCTCATAAGCTATGATCTTATTAGAGGGCACATTCGTACTGTAATGTCTACTTATACTTTCCGTAACTGACTTTTTAGCCTTCTATTTAATACTGTGAAGTATGTAGAAGATCCTTTGCTGCTGCTGAGATGAGAATAACAGATGAGGTTGAAAACTAAGAGTGAAATAAACACTTTGGTCTCCTTTAATGTCTTTTGCTATCTGTTTATTACTGGGTGTAATTTTCAGAGTTTCCAGCATGGATTCAACTATTTAGAACCTCATAATCAAGAGTAAAAACTTTGCAGAGGCTGAATGTTTAAATTGTGTCCATCTGTAAAGTATCCGATTCTTGCAGTTATTTTCGAAGACTTATGACTTAAAGACAGGATCTTATTAAATATATGCGGGATGGTTTAATTTTCCCAGTTATTTTTTAAAATATTAAATATTTACAGAGTACTTTTTATAAATGATGACAAAACACAGCACAATGCAGAGTATCATATGAATATTTTTGCTATCTGGAAAATTTTTCCCTGAAAGAAATAAAATAACAGAAAAAAAAGGAGAAACTATTAACAAATGAAATAAAATTTTTCTAAAGGGACTAAATTTACCTTCTGTTACTAATGAAATAGTATGTTTTATCAGATTCCAGGTTAGCCTGTACCTCAGCTCAACCCTGTTGCACTGGGGTTTTGGGGTTTTTTGTTGTTGTTGTTGTTGTTGTTGTTTATATTGTAGACTTACAGGGAAAGATCTCTACTATGTGTAGAAAATCTTCAACAGACTAAAATAGCAAGACATCTTATGTCTCTGAATCTCATGTCTCTGACAAAGCTCCCAACTTTCACAACAGTGTTTTGATTTGCTAGAAATAACTTTCCAAAAACCCCTAACTTATTATATCTACAAAGGATAATGATGGGGGATGAGATCATAAGCAGTAGATGAATATAGCTTCCTTTAGTTTTAGTGCATTGGCATCTACTTTCTGTGTAAGCACCCAGTTCTTCCCTGGGTTTGTTTTACCAAAGTGAAAAGCTGAGATGAATAATTCTCTTTTTCGTTGCTTCATCTAGAAAGTGATGACATCCAGGGCTGGGGCTGTAGCTCAGTGGCAGAACGTTTGCCTAGCATGCTTGAGGCACTGGGTTCCATCCTCTGCACCACATAAAAATAAATAAATAAAATAAAGGCATTCTGTCCATCTACAACTACAAAAAATATTAAAGAAAAAGTGATGACATCCAATGTATGTTACTGAATACTAATTTTAAGATGGTGAAGTACATAATATCCCAAATTTCAGTGGCTTTTCAAAGAAGTTGAATGATTAATTACATGATTAATTAACATGTATTAGTAATCCAACATCTGAAAATTTCCTTGCAACTTCTTATCAACCGAATCATCTGCCTAAGGATTGGTCTTTAGAATATCACTGATAGCTTGGGGATGGTATGGATTTTCACTAGTGGACAACCCAAATAATGATGGTCTGTCTTGTGAGCCTTCTGCATGGTGTTAGAGAGCCCCCTACTGCTTGAGGAGAGGACACCTTTCATCTTTAAGGCTTCATCATTCCTAACTTAGTGGTAGCACTCCCTGCAGCGCTTCTTCCCCCACACACAGTGCAAGATGGAGTTACAAGCTGCCTCACTTCAGATCTGGGTTAATCCATATGGGGTTGTATATCTGTATTTATTCTTCATTGCCAACATGGCCTATATTCAGTAATTACAAAAAGTCATTGAGCTGGGGATTTAGTTCAGTGGCAGAGCACTTGCCTAGCATGTGCAAGGCTCTCGGTTTAATCCCCAGTACTGCAAAAGAAAAAGTCAGTGAGAACAAATAAGATCTCCATGGCTCTGTGCTCACATGATGGCTGCATTATCTGTGGAGCCTATTTGCTAACTACTCCAAATAAAGAAGAGAGTCTCAACTAAAACAAGAATAGTTTTAATTTTTAAGGTAATCATCCTGTCTATACTACTAGAAAAGTGAGGTGTTAGGTATTCATCACAAACAGTGGGAAAACAGTGTAAGGGTAGTGAACTTAC